ATAATAATGATAATAATGATAATAATAATGATGATAATAATGATAATAATAATAATAATAATAGTAATAATAATAATAATAATAATAATAATAATAATAATAATAATAATAATAATAATAATAATAATAATAAAACTATAATAATGATTATTAATATTATAATTTTAGTAGCAAATGGAAAATATTTACATTGTGATAAATGAAAACAATTGTAGAAGTATATTCAACAGAATTAATGAATGAGCCACCACCAGCATATTCACTAACTAGTCCATGTTTACCACCGGACAGTCCACAAGAACAAGATTGGCCATTTGAATCACCATCATGTTTTGATGGCTATCCACCATATCCAGCTGGTTTGTGTAAATTTTCACTTTTCTGTTTTCTTTTAAGTTTTTTTTTTAAAAAGTTCATTCTAAAGTTTCTTGACTTATTGTCATTCAAAAAATAATCAGCAGAAATGACAAAAATTTTATTGAATTAGCTCTTACTATGATTCATTTTACATTACGTTAAATAAATTATTGAAGTTAGCAACAGTTCACAAATTCGATTTATTAATAATTTTTCAATTACTCGAAATCTAATTGTTGCAACTGCTTGTTAGCTTAATGTAATCACTTTTGAATTCTCTTCGAAAAAGTGATTCCTGACCTTTACCCCTTGTCAAGACAGTACTTCAACTTTTTTACCTTTAATACATTGTAAAGGAAGTAAAATTAGGCATTAACTTTTATTTTAAAAAATGAAAAAATTACACGAGGAAATGTTCGAAATTCTGCAATTCTTATATTTCTGATTTTTTTTTTATTAAAAAAAAAGTTTCCCATCATCTAAATTTTTGAACATTTTGTAAACAGTAAACAAATTAAAGGTCCACCACTACTCAAAATTGCCTATCCGAAAGACATTCCCGGTCCAACATATGGCTGTCCGAAATGTGAAGGAAGATTTCTGGTAAATTTCAATAATTCTTCATTCTATTTGGGTTTTCTTATATTTGCAGTTTGATTAGTCTTGTAATTTTCTAATATGGTGCTATTTTCGTTTCCTGAATCCATTTGGTAATATTTCCGTGATCATGAACCGTATAAATCGATTGATTAAGTATTTTTTGATGCATTGAGTTGGTTACCGACCATTGAAAATTATTAATCAAAAAAAACAATAGGTCAATTCTTTATCATTTTTTATCAAACAAAAAGAAACCCGAATTTCTCTAGCATTCTCTTCCACCCAAGCATCACCAGGATTTGTTGGAAAAATAAATCATAAAGAAAAAGCAGCATTTATCATTTAACAAATTTTAAAAATAAATTGTTAGTTTTTTTGATTTTCTTTCAGTACTATAGACCTGCTGGTATAGTACAATGTCCATTTTGTCATTCTGCAATTTCCATTGGTCGATATGTATGTTTTATTAGACATTTTATGCAATTAAACTTAAAAAAATGTAAAAAGAAAAAAAAGTAAAGAGGAAAAGAAAAATTTCCAATGAATTATTAAATAAATCATTTTATTTTCTCAAATAAGTAATTCTTCTTTTTCTCTGTTTTTCTTCTTATCTCAAATATTTTCTCAGATAAATTTTTGCATAATTCTATAAAATCTTCTATTTAAAGTATTTGAAATGTAAATTTAAGCGAGCTATGCAAATGAATTTTACTTATTTTAAAATTTTTGCTGTAAATTATTTCATTTCCTTTTTATTTTATACAGGTACGAATACGCGCATACTCATTTATCATGTTTGGTTTACTATTTTTAATTATCAGTTTAACTTTCGGTTTGGCAACAAAAATACTTACAGACTGTTCCACGGGCTATTTTATTGTTGGTTAGTTTTTTTTTCTATTCTTATATTAAGATTTTTATAAATTCTAATTGATAAATGATATATACTATGAATTTTTTTAATTAATCAATTGTTTGGAGGACATGCAAATAGATCAAGCAAATTATTAATAAACGGATCAAGAAAATTATTATTAGATGTAGTTCATAAAGTTTTTTTTTAATGCTCTGAAAGAAATTAGAAATGCTTCATTAATTTATTTCATGCTTTTCAAGCACTATCTCAATTGCTTGAAGTATTTAAATATTTGTTTGCTCTTTTTTTTTTCTTTTACGGGTAAACGATGAAATATTTTGTCTCTTTGAATACATGCCATAATTTTAGAATTTAATTAGGATTATTTTTATTCATAGCCAGAAATTTTTCTAACAGAATAGAAGTATTCTTAAATTGATTCATTAGTTACCTCATTTATAATAATTACCATTTCATTACCTCTTTTTTTTCAGCTTTAATAATAGCAATATCTGGTCTAATCTTTCTGATTCGAGCTTTGCATATGTGTTACCGTTATCGAGAAACAGAACGTATCGAATTTCCTTGAAAAGAAGAAGAAAATAAAATGAAAATGGTGGAGAATTTAACATAATTTGATAGTATTATTTGCGAAAAAAAAAAAAATGAAAAAAGGGGAAAAACGACGAAGAAAAAGATTTTTTGATCGATATGTGTTTTTTTTTTTTCTAGATAATACTCGAAACTCAGCGGATCATTTTCCTAACTTATCATCATTTATATTATTAATAATTATTACTTACAATTCATTTATTTATTAATTAATTTATTTTTCGTGTAATAGAAGCATTAAAAACCGAAATTAATCGCTAAAATTCTAAAAAAATTTTGTCAATTAACAAAACTTGTCATATCATTCTCGGATATTTTAATTTTCCTTTTTGTTTTGACGAGATTCTTCAGGAATGTTTTAGTTCTTTTCA